TAACCAACAAACGAGAACACAGTAGAAATGGCTAATGGTAAAACCTTCACCAAGACTAATTCCTTATTGAGCATGCTAGAAGCATCACTACTGTACGATACTTCTGTACATACAGCACTACGTTTTTTCTGTGTTCTATTGTACAAACACTGGTGACCTAACATGAAAACAGCCAGCAACACTTTTTCACGAGTCGATCCTCACTATTATTAGCACTATTGTTAACCTAATAGATGCAAAATTCATTTTAAAACTCAAAGAGCAGTTCCGCTCGAACCCTGGTCACCGAGCGTGTGATCACGTTTGCGTTATGGATCCGTGGGTCAACATGGTTGTCGATACGTGCAATCACAATTGCGTTATGCGTGGACTGTATTGACGATATTTTTCTGGCTTGTCAAATCTCAATAATGAAAAATATTCATTTGGGCAGCATCAATTGTACCACGACTATAACCAGCCCAAAAAGTTCTAGATGCCGACCTTATTCCGCTTCTTTCCAAATGAAGCAGAGTTCAACTATCCCTTGTCGGTGGTTGGCCCGAGGTCTCCTCATCAGCATCTTTCTCTACGGGTTGGTAGTACTAGCAATATTGAGCGATACACGGACGGTACTTTGGAGAGAAGAATGTTAGCTGTCTGCCATTGCTGCGCACTGATTACATCCCCGAATTACAGCAACAGCACGGTAATGGCTCCATCATCAATTCCATCGACAACTCAATTCAAGCTAACGATTCAAACGGAACGCCTGCATTAGCATCACTATCGTTCGGGACATTATTGAGGTCCTTCCTGGATAGTGAAGGCCCCTCCACCATGAGCATCCCAAATTCACGTGTCTTGGGTGGCGCCAAACGGGCGAGTGTAGTCCTGATGGGCCAAGAGAAACACAGAACGACGCCAGCTGCAGTACGAACATTAAGGCAGGAGCTTCTGGCTATTGTTTGCTCAAGAACAAGGCCACGGGCGAGGAAGTGCAGACCATGCGTGTCAACTGCTCGTCTTTGCAGAACGAAATCCGATTCAACTGTCGCCAAGCAGCGGATTTCGCTCGTGTTGCGCCTCAGATTGACGCTCTGATAGCAGCCAAGCGGCAGGAGATAAAGCAGCAAGAAGAGATGCAGCTGCAACCCAAGAACGGAGTACTGATGGTCATGTATCCTAAACTTCTAGCAAACATCTATTCGACAGTGAGATTACTGCGCTCGTACAACTGCTCCCTATCAGTAGAGCTGTGGTATCTTCAAAATGAAATGGGCACGAACCCACTGAACGAGTCAAGAATACTGCAATCACTGGTGAAGGACTATGGACCAATATCACTGCGTGGCATTGCGGAGACAGAAGTGAACGGATTCAACACGAAAGTATTCGCATTGGCCCATTCAGAGCTTGACCAGGTGCTTTTCCTTGACGCCGATAATTCACCCGTTAGAGATCCGACGTATCTGTTTACGACGCCTGAGTTCATGGAGCATGGTGCGATTTTCTGGCCGGATTTCTGGCATCCAATGAACACGATCTTCAACATTAACAGGGAGTCGTTGTTATGGGAGCTAGTGGGCACACCGTATGCGAACATGCTCGAGCAAGAAAGCGGTCAATTGCTGATTGATCGTCGCAGATCGAAAGTTGCGCTGGAGATCGTGCAGTTCTTGGCGCTTCGTAGGCCTGACCACTTCGAGCGTTTGAAACTCCTCCATGGGGACAAAGATCTGTTCCGGTTGGCGTGGCTGAAGACTAACACTTCATTTCACATGATTCGAACTCCTGCTGCGGCCGCAGGTTTGGTGAAAGGCAAACAGTTCTGTGGTATGACTATGGTACAGCATGACCCTCAAGGAGAGATACTGTTCCTGCACCACAACGGCAAGAAATTGATTGGCGAAGAGGAGACCAGTAAAACTCGCGTCTGGACACATCTCCAGTCCTTTGTGTTTCCAGAAAACCTTACGTCAGTGGATACAAACGCGGGTGAACGGTACGAATACATGACAAACAACTATCACGTTCGTATCTTCGGTGGAGGGATATTCAGAGGCTTTACGATGTGTTACGGGGACACCGCAATGAAGTCGGAGCATTATAAAACCACGTCGTGGGATGATCTTCCTTTCAAAGACCTCGAAGACCGATTGCACGACTTCGCCCAAGTGGCACGTACTCTCGATAGACCTAGCGA